GTTTGTAACTTGTACTCTCCTCAAAATCAGTGAAATTTGTTCCCCCTTGCCCGTGGATTAGCTAGCACACATTGTGTTAGTGAACCACATTAAATTTGTGTTCGTTCATGTTGGTTTGGATTATCGATTGCACGCTTCTGTTCTGACAAACTGCTTTATTTTATTGAATAAAGTAATAAGTGGGTTTTGTGAAAAGTGTGTGCAATTTAATTTGACATATTAAATCGCACTACGCATTTAGCACTTTGCGCGGCGCGTTCGGATTTGAATTTTTGACTAATTAATTATCGGAATTATTTTTGATTAATTAATTCCGGATAATTAATTGACATTTGATTTTTGTGAAACGACGTAACCATTCGGAAGGAAACTGTCGTTTTCACAATAAAAGACTTTTGCAACCAGACTTCTTTTGCAACATTGTATCTTCTTCTTCCCATCTTTCCTTCTCAAGAACACAATAGACAAGGCTTACCGTGCTAACTTCATAGTAGTTAGCACTATACTAACTAGTCTAATCACCATCCATTTTTCCAGGTTGAGTCTGACGGTAGTAATTATTGAAGGGCTTGTTTGGTAATTTAAAAATATAAATTAAATAATACATTAAAATATTTTTTTCTCTCTCCTCTATATATTAGAATCTGTTTCTACGGAGACAATTTATTACTTAATCCATTACTACTTACATTAGTAGTGGTTTGGATCTCATGTTTTTAGTAGTGATTTTATTGTAATTATCAGTGTTTTCTGAATTTTTAATTAACGGTGATGGATGATTTACACTAATACTGCTTTGTGGGTTTATCAGTGATTTTATATTTTAGGAACTTTACATTAGCAGTGATTTAGGAATTTTAGAAAAGATTGATAATATAATCAATCAAAATGGAAAGTCAGCATTAGTCAAGAGAAAATCACTATTAAAAAATATCTACTACAAAATCACTACTAATATGAGCAGTAAGCCAAATACGTTCCGATTAAAGACAACCCACATCAATACTTAAAAAAAGTACTATTAGTAAAATGTCCGATAAAAGAAAACACTACTAGCAAATTAACGCTAGAAGAAAACACTACTAGTATTTTCAATTCATACTTCACAAATCTGTATCATTTACCGAATAAAACATTTTCTTTCCCCCAAAGAAGAAAGAGTCACTCGCGACGAGTTAACCCGGTCAAGAAAATCGCCCCACCACGTCGCCGCCGCTTTGGCTATTCAACGTGCTTGGCGCCTCGTCTAGCAGCAGAATCGTTGAGTTCCTTCGTAATGCACGCGCCATGGCAATCCTTGGATTCTACCAACCGGATGTCGTACCGTCCTTCAACCGTCACGCGTTGGTGGCCTTCTTCGCCTCCACGATCTCGCACTCGTCAGAGTTCACCATCGCCGCATCATACGCAGAGAGACAAATCGCAAATGAGAGGCGGTCGGTGTCGAAAGAGGCCAAGGGGGCGAGGCTGAGGGCGACGTGGATAAGATCGATGGCGTAGTCGAACGGGAAGAGTAATCGGTCGAAGATGAGAGTTATAGAGAAGAAAATGATTTATTTGTGAGAGAGAGAATGGGAGAGACGGTTGAGAGATCGAGGAGAGACAAGAGAGGGTTGATATCAAAATTAGTTTTTATATTAGGGTTTGAGAAGCTATTGACGAAATTATCCTTCATTTGTTTTTTACCCTAGGATTACATTTTAATTTAATGATTATTAATTTAGTTAGTATGGTGCTAACTAGGGCTGGCTATTTGGTCATGGACTGTTTGCTTTTACCTGAAACCGGACCGTATAACCCGGACCGGATAGCAAACAATCCAATCTCATATTCGGGCTTAGATTTGAGGTAAAAAAACCCGAATAAAGACCGGATAAGAGACCCCCAACACCTAAAATCAAGATCAAATTGGGACCGGACCGAATCAAGACTGGATTGTATCCAATCCAATCTTTGGTCCTTATATTTCCGAAAAAACCGAACTGGGACCGGATCAATTTGGTCCAATTTAACCAGATCGGACCATATAGCCACCCCTAATGCTAACTCCATAAGGGATTAGCAACTAATCCCATCCCATTCAATGACTTAAGCTACACAAACAATCACTGGGCCGTAACTCACGAGTCACAACTCACAGGCTCAACCGTAAAAGAAAGCGGTAATTAAATGATGTTCATTTTGCACCAATTGTTTCCACTCCTTTCCAACCACTAGCTCCTCCACAGATTCACTAACCCATCTCATTTACTCCCCCCACCCAAAATTGTTGTTGACCTTCAAAATTTAATTCCCGGCTAACCGTCGACCGCCAGCTCAAGTTTCGGACAAAAACCATGCAAATTAACCTGTAAAGTACCCCTGCCTCCCCTACTATAAAAACGTACCCTGCCCTTGTCAATTTCAACCACAGACCATTAGCCTGCCATGGAGCTCAATCGGTTCCTGCTCGTGCTCGTCGTAGCTCTAGTGGCTGGTCTGGCGACGAACACAGCTCCGTCCGCAGCCGAAGAAGCGCTCGAGGAAGATCACTTCTTCAAGAAGTACTTCCACAAGCCGGACTTGGACTACCCGAAGCCGGTTCACCCGGACCACCCCTTCTTCAAGAAGTTCTTCGGCCACAAGCCTCACCCGTGGTTCAAGTTCCCGTTCCTCCACAAGCCCGCGCCGATCAAGCCGCCGCCGGAGAAGGCGGATCCCGGTTTCCCCAAGGACGATCCAGGACACCCTAAGGCGGCGGAGAAACCCTAGTTATCGATTGGTCGCCAGGAATAATAATGATGATGATAATAATAATAATATAATAAAGTTGTTGCATGGCGTCGTTTCTCTTTTTTGGTGTTTTTTTAGTTTGTTTACTTATGGTTGGGTACTCTCTTTGTTAGCTAGGTTGAGAGAGAGGAACCAAGGTGACTGTGTGTACTCCTTTGTTCATCAGCATTGTAATTTTAAATCCTGATCGCTTACAAGCTTATGAATTTGTGAGTTGTACTTAGGGTGGCGGTTCAATTTTGGTTTTTTTCCCCTTCTTCTGTTCTAATCAAAATCAAAAGAGTGAGTTTCACATGCTTATTGGTTTTCTACTTACTTTTCTTTAACAATTACAAACCAATAAGCCGTTAACGGTCTCGATTTTGGGCAATTAGCTATTGGGTTTCGTCCGGAACCGTGAACTTGCACCCCTTACATTCAGTCTAAAAGTATTATCTTTCTAACATGGTTTCAAATAAAGTTACTTGTAGGTTTTTCAGAAGGAAAAAAAAAAAATAGTACAGGTCAACTTTATATTATTTGGGTATGTGGTGGAGATCTGGAGACCCTAATTACTAATTAGGACCCCTATAATTATACCATTACCAACAAGGTGTTCTTGAACCTACTTAATTATTCGCCTAAACCTTCACCCAGTATCCATTTCAATTATTCTATTCAAATAAATATATTATTGAACCGTTTTTCCCAAAGACATACCTTTCTGAAGAAAAAACGAAAGACCAAGCAAGATATCTGTTTTTCTGTTGTTCTTCCGTTTCCTTCTTCTAATAAAAGTCTCGGTCACCTTCATAAAAAAAAAAAGAAAAAAAAAAGAGAGAGTAAGATATCTGATATTGCAAACAAATACGGGCAGTGCAATGATAATTGATATTAAGCTTCCAGTATTGGGCTGGGCTGCTACTCAACGGCCCATCAGCCGTCAGGATTATTGGATTCAACTCTGATAATATCTCGCTAATGCCTGGCTTGAGAAACAGCTGCTGAGGGGATAAATTCCATTATAGTCCCCAATTTTGATGGAATCATCTCTTGAGTTTGACCATATATCATCAAGTAATGTGCTGGAAGTGCGATCAAGCGCAATGCAGTCAAAATCGGGATTTTGATCGTAAAATCGTAGGATTTTAGGATTTTACTTAGGGATTCCGATCATGATTTTACTATAAAATCGATGGACCTTAAAATCGTTCAAAATCGGAATTAAAATCGTTAAAATCGTAAAATCGTACCAAAATCGGGATTTTGATCCTATGTGAACAAAATAGGGAGCTTGAGCCAATTCAAAAGAAGCAGAATGGTTTTAGTGGAAAGGGCAATGACGAGAATCTTCTCATATATTTTTTCTAATAAAATAACATTTGAAAAGAAGAAAAAAACTAATTAGGGTTCGGTCAACCCCTTTCCCTTCTCCTTGTTTAACTCATCGGTAAACAATTGCCAGAATATTGTTAGTGCATAAGAATTAACATCATTATTAACAAATTATTTTATTAATGAATATATTTGTACCAAACCAATGACATTAATTATTTTATTGGATTTCAGTTATTCTTAGTTTTAAATCATGCTTAGTAGACGATGTCGGAATACTACTTTGAGTTAAACTACCTAGACACAACATGAAAAACAAGAGCCGAACCCCATGAGCTCTATGCCTCTATCCCTTCCTCATAAATTATTTTGAGTTACACATTAAATAACAAATAAAATGATGATTTTGGAACATTAATCTTGAAAATTATTAATTTAAATGTTATAAGTCTTTGTGTTATTGATTATTTACCTTATTAATATTATCATATGTTAATTTCTATATGGTACTTAAAATCCTACGATTCTACAATTCGATTTTACGATTCCGATTTTACCCCAGTTTTCGATTTTAGGTAAAATCCCGATTTTAACTGCTTTGTTATAATCGAAGCGTGGTTGGTGGCAGTCCTGGTGTAATGTTATAATCGAAGCCTTCCCTTCTTGTAAGAAGAAGATCATTCTGTTTCATTTAGCTACTGATTCAAAACCCATGTAACAAAGAAAACTGAAAGGACACTTCCTATGAATTGCAGAGATATTATTCATCAAAACAAAGAACAATAGCTCAGTTTGAGTTCCTCCAATGGCGGAAAACAAACTATACAGTAGGCTCTCTCGCTAACTATAAACGCTAACACTACTCCTTCTATCACTGCCAAAACGGGATGCACAAAATTTCTTTTTAATCCGACTCAGTCGAACACCACAAGCTTCTTATACTCCTCCCCAGCAATGGCCAACGCCATCACATCCTCTGGATTCACAATCCCATCTCCATCCATGAACATCGTCAGCAAATTCTTCGAGAACCCACTCACCAGCGCCACCCCATTCTGCGTTCCCGCCACCGGCGTCGCCGACGAGTCCCTCAGGTTCCAGAACACAATCTCCGGTACCCTGTTGTACCCTTTCTCCCCAAACTTCCTCTGTATCGCCTGATAATCCGTTTCCCAGCTCCTGTTCTCCGCCTTCGCCTCCTCAGCCACTTCCTTTTCCTCCTCCTCCTCCTCGTTCTCGTCATCGTCATAGTCATTATCGTCATCGTCAGATCCTCCGTAGTAGTGGTGCTGGGGGTAGGAGTAAGGCTCCTCATAAGCCTCCTTGAATTCCATGTCACTGAACACGAACACTCTCTTCACCAACTGATCCTCCCTCAAATTGTTCGAAACCGCCGTGTCGAGCATTTTGTCGAACACCTTGTAGAAATTGGTGCTGCCTCCCCAATCCATCCTCCTGATGAAATCGGTCTTCTCCTTGAGCGTCTCCCCCTCCACCAAATGCATCTCCGGATCCTCACTGAACGTGATCACCTTCCCTTTCCACGGCTCCTCGCTCAGTTCCGAAACCAGCAGCCCGAGCGCAACGCACACCTCCATTGGCGTCCCGAACATGCTGCCAGACACGTCACAAACAGCAATGCAGTTGCTCAGCTTCCCTTGCTTTTTCATGTCCTCCACCACCCTCGCCCACTGAAGCTCCGCCACCGCCCCATCGTCGCTGTCGTTGAGCTGGGCGATGATCTCGTGCGGTAGCAGCGCCCCTGCTGCGATCTTCGCCTTCCCGGTCTTCACCTTCTCCAGATACTCCTCGAACCGCTCCTTGTCGTGCTTGACGAACAGTTCCTTGTAGTTCTTCATCGCCACCGACGGGACGCGGCCGTAAGGGAGGGAATTCCACTCTCTTGCGCTCATGTAAACCTCTGGGATTTGAAGCGCTTTGCGGAGAGGGACGAGGATTTCCTTCCGAAGCCTGTCTCGGACGCGGTAGGCGTAGTGGGATTCCTCCATGGATTCGTACTCCTTCTCGCTGTTCTTGGGGAAGATCCGGCGAGCAATCGCCTCGCAGATCAGCAAGGATTTGTCGTAGGAGGAGTCGATCGAAGGGCACCACTTGGCCGCCAGAGTGATCCTCGAGTAATCCTTGGGTTTAAGAGCCTCGATGTCGGATTTCAGCAGATCTGCAAATAGATCTGCAATTGAATCGAAGAGAAGCCTGTAATTGGAATCGGAATTGTACCGGTTCAGCGCCTTGGCCGCTTTGGCAGCCTCTCGCTCCTTGCGCATCGCCCTCGCCGTTTCCTTGTCGACGGATTTCTTCGAGTTCTTGGCCTTCTGGGTAATTCCAACCCCAGCCTCGGAATTCTCATCCTCCTCGTCCTCGTTCTCGTCGTGGCGATACATGTGTGCGTATCTCCTCATCCTCTTGGCCATCACCCTGGCTGCTCGCTCCTCTCGCCTCTCCAACTCGGCTTTCTTCCTCACATCGAGGCCTTCGAGGATCCGGTACAGAATCTCGACGAAATCCTTGAAATAGCCGAACTCAGCAACAGCCCTTGCGTTGAGGGATAGGGTTTTCGGGTGGTGGGTGTAGAGCCAGAGCGCCGCCGCGTAGAATCCTTCCTTGTCGGACTTGCCGGTACCTCGCACCCCTCGAAGATTGCAGATAAGCTTGAGCGCGGTGAGGGGATCGTGAGCCCACGCCAGATTGAGCCGGTCGGCTAATTTGTCGGCGGAGGTGCTGGGGACGATGTGGAAGAAGAAGTCGAGGCAGGGGTTGCCGGAGGAGAGGTAGGTGGCGGAGCCTTGCTCCGACAGGCCCATCGGCGGATCATCCGTCAATCCCAGCGTCTGGCTCTTGACGATGAGGGGTTCGATTGCAGTTTGTGGGGATGGAACAGTAACTGTTGTTTGGGGTTTATCGCCGGACACCGCCGCTCCGGCGACTGATAGAGGGCCAAGAATCTTGGTCGACGTCGTCATGATGGAGGGAGACGGCGGTGGTGGATCAAAAAGCCTTTAGGTTTATTTTAATCTCAAAGGCAAAGTCCTCTCTACTAATACGGCCAAGCTTCTGCCTTTTTAATAGGGTTTCTTCACAAATTAAATAATTGTTTTCCTTTTCGGATTTCTTTTTCGAATCTCCTTAGTCCTTATCAAGGTTGTCAAACCGCGGGTCGACCCGGACCCGGACGAGCTAGTGGGTCATGGGTCAATGGGTCACCCGTTTTAGCCCGGTTTAGCCCGGCTTAGCCCGGAAATCTGAAAAGAGCCAATGTATTCTATTTATCCTGAATCCAAAAACCTGAATATCACAAAATTGTATCAAACCATAGCTATACGAAAGAAAGAAACCATTTATTGGAGTCAAGTCTCAAAGGTCAAACCCTTACCAAATGAAACCATTCACAAAATTCGTTTCCATTTACAAAATTGTATCAACCATTCATTCGTTTCCATTTACAAAATTGTATCAAGTCTCAGAGATCAAACCCTTACCAAATGGATATTGAGTTTGTGAAGAGTGAAGACTGAAGAGGCGGTCGGGCAGAGGCGGGTGGGCAGAGGAGGCCGAGCACTTCTCGCGAGCGGAGGCGGCCAGGCAGAGGAGGCCGAGCAGAGGCGCGACTCGCGAGCAGAGGTGGCCAGGCAGAGGAGGCCGAGCAGAGGCGCGAGCAGGGCCGAGCAGAGGCGGAGCTGAAGGGAGGAGAGACGGAGCCGTGAAGGCCGACCTGATCTTCCGCCGGCGACCGCGACCACGCCGCCAAAGAACCCTGGAGATGGCGAGAGCAGGACACGGCTGCGCTGCAGCCTGATGGAAATCGAAACGGGCGGCTAATGGAGTCTCTAGAGTCTAGGGTTTCGCTGCAGGGAGAAGAAGAAGTGGACCGTCCAAGCCAAAACGGCGCCGTAACGGCCAAAACGGGGCTCAGGAAGATCAGCCCGCTGACCCGTTCCAACGGGCTAACCGGCCGGGCCAACCCGGGTTTGACCGGGTTTATCCGGGTTTGACCATTTCCGGGCTGATAGTAAAATGGGTTAGTATGGCCCGTTTTTTTGGCCGGGTCCGGGTTAATCCGGGTCGACCCGCGGGTCGACCCGCGGGTTAACAACCTTGGTCCTTATTATTATGATTGACTATTTTACTTGGGATATATTAGAAAAATAAATAACCTCTCACTACCTTTGCGCCCAAGTTTCCTTGAAACCTTGGTCACCAAGCAATGCGGAGAGATAACACTTTTTAGTTTATACTTCACAATGTTAGTGATTGTCCATTTTTGCCACAATAATTGGAACGTCAGGTTAAGAGATTTTTCCAATAATAGCACCCTTTAAAAAAAAAATTACAAAAATAGCACCCTGCCAAAAATATTTACAAATCGGCCCTTTAAAAAAACTTATAACAACAATAAAAATTAAACCAGAATGATGAGTACATACCGCTTGAAATTCATCGACGAAAACTCCTTCTCCTTGCCACCAATCGGCCATTTTTTCGGCGTAATTCAGACAGAGCTTCGGCTCGGCTCGGCGGGTTTTTGAGGAAAAAACCTAAGAAATATTTTCTGATGGCAGATCGGACTTAGCCGCAACCAACAGACTTTTATTTCCTAGGCTTTTGGGAGGGGAGGGTTTAGAGAGATTATATCTAGAGAGAGAAGGAGAATGGGTTGTGTGGAGTGAAGAAATGAGAGGGGGAGGGGGGGTATTTATACCCAACAGATCGCACCGCCGAGGGGCGATAGGGTAATTTTACCGCGTAGAAATCGCATCTCCCTGGTGCGATCTCCACGCCAAATCGCATTCCCCTGATGCGATCCCCGCGTCCCGATGCGTTGAACGCGCAGAATCATGACGCTCCACTTTTCCAGGCGAGAAATCGCACCTCACCAGTGCGATCCACACTCAGTCGCGCGGATTGCTGACGTGGCTATGCTGCAGCCCTTCAGATCGCATCTTAATCGTGCGATCCAGAAGGTCGCTGGCGACCAAACTTGGATCGCATCTTGGGGATGCGATTTACCTTAGATATCGCATCTTAGGGGTGCGATTTATGAAGGAAACGCATTCTAAGGCTGCGTTTCATTTATAAAACGCACCTCTAAGGTGCGATTCATTAAAATAGGTGCTAGTTTTGTAATTTGTTTTGGAAGAGTGCTAGTTTTGTAATTTTTTTTTTAAAGGTGCTATTTCTGGAAAAAACTCTCAGGTTAACTAGGTCAAAGCTTTCGTAATATTGCGAAACTGTCCGTACAAATTTATGAGCGAGTTGGAGACTTCATCTTTAAGGTGAATCAATGTTAAAATCAATGGATCAGTCTACTATGCTAAAAAAATTTATCCTTTTCAGTCGACACTATCAAAAGGGAGAGCGATCAATTCATTAAGAACTTCAAAGATAAAACCATCGCTAGTGCTAAATTTGTTTGAGAGTTGGAGATCAAGAAGAATAGTCTATAGACAAATTATGTTGTTGTACTTAGCTCACCCTACAAGCCATAATTAGCTTTCCCATCCTGCCTTCTGATTCTCCTTTCTTTTGTCATAAGGAATAAACTTCAATAATAGATTCTCCTTTATCTTAGAAATTTAGTTTGCAACTTATGAAGAAATTTAGTTTTGCAACATAGAAGGAGTTAAATGAGTGGCATACGGCACAACAGTGGCTCCTAGATAGTAGATAGGGTAGAAATTCCAACATGACATGCTTTATTAAACATTTCCCAGTCAAATTGCTTCACCCTCTTTTTTCTATGTGTCAACTCATTCTCTGCCCAATTTATCTAACTTCTATATAATATTTAGTCGAATTGCTTCTAGTTTAACTTTTGTTGTGCATGTTTTAGCTCTATTTTAGTTATCATTGCGTGAGAGGTTCAAATTCTCGAATAATTTGACTTAATTTATAATTTAATACTCTCCATTTTTAGAGCAGGATTGTTATAAAAATTGGTGAAATATTTATTTTGATCAGTGTCTTTTTACTTCATTTATGATGTCATAATCTTCGTTATCTATATATGAATAAATCAACTTGTTACACCCAATTTAAATTTAGGGATGGCAATGGGTCGGGTTGGGACGGATAGTGCATATACGTTATCCTACCCAAAGTAGTTCGGGTTTTACCCATGCCCATACCCACAGGTGAAACGGGTAAAAAATCAAAACCATACCCATACCCATTCGGTTTCGGATATCCACGGTTATCCATGGGTAATGATTTCTCTTCATAACTCCAACCAATATGTTAACATTCATATGTATTCTCACATTACGTAAGAGGTAAAGTACCACAATACTTCACGAGAATGAAGAAAATTAATTAAAACAACACAATTTCATGAAAATATTATATTTATATGATAAATATAAAATATGTTAGAGAAAAATAATGATTAATTCTAGACAAAATACATGTGCATGTGTATAATCGAGCGGGTTCGGTTGGATAGTGTGAAACCCATGCCCACCCATTACCCGCAATATTCGGGTTCGGGTTTTACCCATACCCACTAAATGTCCTTCGGGTTCGGGTTTTACCCTACCCGATTAGGCCGGATTCGGGCGGATATCCACGGTTACAGATAATTTTGCCTTCCCTATCACCCATATCTCAAGGAAAAACATTTGGTCTAACTCATCGGCGGATCTAGGGCTTGGCCAACCCGGGCCACGGCCTAGCCCTTCGCTGGATCCAAAGCTAGTAAAGAGCTTATAAATAATTCGATTTTAGGTATTCGATCCAGTATTATTTAATGGTCGGTCGAGTTTTATTTGATAATAATTTTGTATAGTTAGAAAAATGGTGTCGATGAACATATGCAAACCATTACTCTCAATTTAGTCTAGGAATTCTAGCCCGAATTATATTCATTGAAAAAAAAAAAACAATAAAACCTAAAGGTCTAAAATGTAAAAGAGTCACTACAACAAAATTGGCCTATAGCGGCTAATAATTGAGGCATAAGTTGTAATTGCCTCTGAAAATACCTTTTAAACAACATATATTGAATTTGCCTCTACAAGTATTATTATTTGCCTCTAAAAATTATCTATATACAACAAATATAAAATTTGCCTCTATAGCTATTGAAAACTGCCTCCATACTATTATCTCCACGCGCTCATTTTTTTCTTTTGGCCTAGGACGCGGGATTTCAAATTTCCTTTTTTATAGTGGTGATGAAGAGTCTTTTTTTAGTCCAATGAAGAGTCCTTTTTAAGTGGTGATGAAGAGTCATTTTATCCACCGTACAAAGAAACGAGAAGATAGATCTAGAAAGTCAAAACTCTCCTCTTCCCTCTCCCCTCTCACCACCACTTTCCCTTCCTAGCTCTTCGCTAAATCCTTGCCTCTTCCTTTTTCTGCGATCATCCTGGCGCCACCTTCGTCGCAAATCTCGGAGCAAAGATGGTAAGATTAAAGCTGCGGCTTGCTAGTTACTTGTCGATTTAGGGTTAAAATTGTAGATTGGGGTGATGCTAAAGTTTAAAGCTAAACTTGGGGATTTTTCAATTTGGGTTTCAATTTGTTCATCCTATAGGTTTATTTTGGCGGTGGTGATAGAAGCAGGAGCTTGAGGAGTGAAGAGACGACGACAAGCAGGGGAGGTGGGGTTTGTCCAGGGAGGACTGAAACAGAGAAGAGCGTCACCCAGTGCGAGAAGACAGCGACGGCGAAGGCGAAGGAAGAGGAAAGCGCATGCGACGATGGCAGGGAGAAGAGTTCGCTGATTTGACGAAGAAGAAAAAGGCGACTGGCGTGCAAGATCTACAACTGCTTATACCTGTCGATAGAGGAGATCCCAAAGGGGCAGAGGGACGGAGACGGGAATGGTCAAAGATTGGTGATGAACTCGCCGGTTCTCAAGGCGGCGGAGGCAACAAGTTGCTATTGTTGGCTTAAGATTCTGTACTGTAATTGTATTTTATAATTAACTGAAAATTATTGTAATGTATCTCGTTCTCGGTATAAATAACATACATATTTTATTGGTTTTCATTGACATTATTAATTTCAAAATTTTAGTATAGTATATTTAAAAATATGAAAAAAGATCTAAAGAATATATGAAAAAAGAAACCAAAAATAAAGCCAATTTTAATATGCTTTTTAGAGGCAAATATTTGTGCCTTTAAATCTAAATATGAGGTGTAAAAGAAAGTGGTTCTCGCGGCTAATACATGAGTCGTAGTATCACTAATCAGCAACAAATAATATATGTCGCTATATCTGCCTCTATAGAGCTATAGCCACTAGAGTATTTGAGGCAAATATTTTATCTGCCTCTAAAGATGTATAGAGTCAAATAAATGACATCTAGAGGCAAATTTCCTCTGTTGCTATAGATAGATTTTCTTGTAGTGAGTGTATAAAGTTTCATTGAAATAAGAAAACCCTCTAAACAAATTGATTTGTTGGTAGATTCTTCTAGTGTTGACCTTGCCGTTTCAACGGCTACCATAGAGAGAACATTTTAAGCAATAAAATATGTGAAAATTAATTTGCGCAACAAAATGCTTGATGAATTTCTCGTTGATTGCTTAGCTATTTTCTTTGAGAGAGAGTACGCTATTGATATGGATGGAGATTCTATTATTATCGATGGATTTGCAGAATTAAAAAACCTTCTATTATAAATTGGCATGGAAATGAATGAAAACTATTGTTATCATATATTTTTGGGTAAATACAATTTATTAGTCAAACCTTTTAGACTTTACAAATTATTAGTCAAACCTTTCAAAATACAAAATATTAGATAAATCTTTTGTAACACATCAAAATATTAGCCATTTGTCTGTTACCGTGGTAATTTTGTAACTATTTTTTTTATTTGAAATACTAAAATTTTAAATGTTGAATATTTTTGTTTACAATATATAATATTATATTAAAATGCGGTCCAGTGCTCTATTGTGTTCTAGTCAGCCGCTGATCTAACTCTTACCGGCCATGGAGTAGGTATGAGTTTGATGTACTTACCTTGACCTGACCTCGTTTCTATGCCTACTCCTTAATATTCATACATCTCCAACTAGAGATAAATAGCATGACCTGACGTTAGCCCGCCAGAGGGGATAGCGTAAGGTAGTTTTGGAAGCGGATTCTTGGATCCAACTTTGAGGCGAGTGCAAGCGGTAATTATTGGAATAACGTGAAGTGGAAAATAAAGCATGAGAGGTGCTCTCCCCTCTCTCTTCCAATTTTGTTTGCTCGTCGGTCGCTTCTTCGGTAGGGTCCTCATCGTACTGCTAGAGGCTAGCTTATCTAACCAGGGATGGGAGACAAAGTTCAAACATCCGATGGCGAGAGTTAACGACCCAGGGGCGGAGCTATGTTCAAGGTAGGGTGGGCCCCGGCCCCCCCGGGATTGGTCCCGGCCCTAGGATATTAAGGATATTTTGTACAAATTATATAAGTATTACTTGTTCTGTAAATTCTATTATGTAAAAGGTGTATAGTCTAATGGAAGTCAAGCTTGACTTTTGTTTTCAAGGACATGAGTTCAATCCACAAGATCACATTTGTCTTTTTCATTTTTTTACCAACTTTTTAATCTTCATTAATTTACTCCCCTTCTACAATTCCCCAAACAAAACCGTCATTTTTATTTTTCTTTACCAACTTTTTAATCTTCATTAATTTACTCCCCCTCTACAATTCCCCAAACAAAACCGAAATCCCCATTTATTGTGAGAGAGTACCGATAAAAGGCCACCTTTTTTATTTAGTTTAATTAATTTTAAGTCTCAATTTTCATTAACATTCTCAATTTCAAACGGAAAAATGACAGCCAAAAGTTTTAGTTTAGATGTTATTTTGAGTGATTTCAATGATCAAAGAACGTCTTATACTTCTAAAATAATTATAAATTTTTTATTAATTAATTATTTTCGGCCCCCCGGTCTCGAAATCCTGGCTCCGCCCCTGTAACGACCAGAATCCGAAGAGAAGTGCGGCGAGGCTAGGTCGCGCCAGAGTTTGGGGTGTTCTAGATCTTCGAGGTTGCCGACACCCAAAGTCGAAGAAAAGTAAGATGTCGTCTGACTCGTCGCCGGCGGCATCGTTGTTACGTAAACAGAAGTGTGAAGGTTGCGAGCAGGGCCTCATGCTCCCAGCCCCGCCCTAGCGGACTTGTTCGCGTCAAGAGGCTAAACATGGATGGCGGTTCTTTCTACCGTCATCAATTGAAACGGACGATGGCGATTGTTTAAATGGTGAACAGATGCCAGTCGTAAAACAACGGTCAGATGCTGACCA